GGCCGTACCTGGGCACAGGGGAGGGGTGAAGGGGGGATCACCAGCCCTGTGGCTGTACCTGGGCACAGGGGAGGGGTAACAGGTGTGTGGGGAGGGGACAGAGCACAGGGATTTGGGTGGCCCGGTGGAACCCAGGTGGGACTCACTCAGGTGGGACCCGGGTGCCCAAGTGGGACACAGACCCAGGTGTGACCCAGACCCCCAGGTGGGACCCTGACCCCCAGGTGAGCCCAGGTGTGCCCCAGCCGCCCAGGTGACCCAGGTGAGCCCCGGCCCACCCTCCAGGCACATGGTGGAGAAGAAGGCGATGTTCCGGGTCTCCAGGGGCGACTCGTGGGTGCACTCGGGCGAGCGCGTCTGCGGCTCCGACTCCCCCGTCAGCGACGAGTTGTCCACCTTGGGGGGGGACGTGTGGTCACACCCCCACCTGTGGGCCCCAGTGCCCCCGGCTGAGCGCCAGGTGAGCCCCCAGGTGAGCCCCCAGGTGAGCCCCGAGCCCACCTTGCAGCCCTGGGCCGACAGGACGCGGATGTCGGCGGGGACTCGGTCGCCCCCCTTGATCTCCACCAGGTCCCCGACCACAAGCTCGTTGGCGTTGATCTGCTGCTTGGCCCCGTCCCGCACCACCGTGGCTTGCTGGGGGGCACAGGGGGCACAGGTGAGGGCATGGGGAGGGCACGGGGGAGGGCAGAGATGAGGGCACAGGTGAGGGCACAGGTGAGGGCACGGGGAGGGCACGGGGGGCACAGGTGAGGGCACGGGGACAGCACAGGGGAGGCCCCCAGGTGGGCGGGGTGGGGCAGGGTGGGGTCCCCACCTGCGGGACCAGGTTCTTGAAGCTGGCGATGATGTTGGTGCTCTTGAACTCCTGGTAGTACCCGAAGCAGCCGGTGACGACCACGACGGCGATGAGGGCGATGGCCAGGTACAGCTGGGGGGGGGGACAGGTGAGTGCCTGGGGCCCAGGTACCCCTGTCCTCGGGGTCCAGGGGGGTCCTGGGCATCCAGAACCCCCACATGTTCCCCCAGCCCCGGCTTCCAGGTGTGCCCTCTGAGGTGGACCCAGGTGCCCCCCAAGTGTCCCAGGTGCCCCCCAGCCCCCCAGGTGCCCCCCAGGTTCCCCCCAGCCCCCCAGGTGCCCCCCAAGTGTCCCAGGTGCCCCCCAGCTCCCCAGGTTCCCCCCAGGTGCCCCCCAGGTGCCCCCCAGCCCCCCAGGTGCCCCAGGTGCCCCCCAGGTGCCCCCCAGGTGCCCGTACGTTGTCGGAGGAGCCGCGGTCTCCCTCTCCCTCCTGGACCCCGTAGGCGATGAGGCAAATGGCCGCTGCCACCCACATGAGGCACTGCAGCCCCCCTGCCAGCTGCCGCCCGAACTTCACACACTCGGGGGTCCCGCGGGGGGGGCGAAGCTCGTTGGGGCCGTCCCGGAGCAGCCGCTCGGCCGCCACGGCCTCCGACAGGCCCTGGGGGGACGGGGGGGTCAGTGGGGTCAGTGGGGTCAGTGGGGCTGATTGGGGTCACTGTGAATGGTGGGGTCAGTGGTCAGTGAGGTCAGTGGGATCGGGGTCAGTGGGGTCAGGGGTCACCTTGGTGACGCTGGTGCTGTACTTGATCTCCAGGTCGTTCACGTCGAGCTTGTGATCATCCTGTGGGCACCCGGCTCAGAGCTGACCCCCCCAGTGCCCCCCAGTACAGCCCAGTGACCCCCCCCAGTGCCCCCCAGTACAGCCCACTGCCCCCAGTGCCCCCCATTGACCATCCCAGTCCCTCCCAGTCTCTTTCATCCCCTCCCAGTCCCTCCCAGTGACCCCCACTGACCACCCCAGTCCCTCCCAGTCCCTCCCATCTCCTCCCAGTGCCCCCCAGTCCCTCTCAGTGCCCCCCATTGACCATCCCAGTCCCTCCCAGTGCCCCCCAGTGCCCCCACCACATCCATCTCCTTCTTCATGTCCTCCAGCTTCTCCTTCTCCCTCCTCTTCCCGCGGCCCTTTTTGGGGGTCGGGGCCGGCGGCCCCAGCTCGAAACTCTGGGGGGGGAAAGGGGTCAAGGGGGGTCAAGGAGGGGGTCGGGGGGTCCCTCCCCCATCCCTCCCCCCTCCATCCTTCTCTCCATCCCTCTCTCCTCCCTCCCTCCCTCCCTCCCTCCTTTCCCTCTCCAGCCTTTCTCTGGCTCTCCATCTCTCCTCAATCCTCCATCCCTTCTCCATCTCTCCTCCATCCCTCTCTCCATCTCTCCTCAATCCTCTTCCATCCTCCTCCTCCTCCCTCCCTCCCTCTGCCCCTCTCCCCACTCACCTCCTTCCCCATGGCGGCTCCCAGTGCTCCCAGTGCCGTCCCCACCTCCCCTTATACCCCCCGTGGGCACCGCCCCAAGGTGACCCTGCCGGGGGGGAGGGGATACCTGGTCCCCTTTTGGGGGGAGGGGACACCTGGACATGTCTGGGGTTTTTTTTGGGACACCTGGACACACCTGAGCCCCTTTTTGGGTGGAGGGGACACCTGGACACATCTGGGTCCCTTTTTGGGATACCTGGACAAACCTGGATCCCCATTTTTGGGGGGCAGGGGACACCTGGGTCCCCTTTTTGGGACACCTGGACACACCTGGATCCCTTTTTGGGAGGGGAGGGACCCCCCAGCCCCGGTGCCCTCGGGCCGCCCTTGATCCCCCCCCCTTATCAGGTAGGGCCTTATCAGGGCTTTGCCTCGTTAATGATTAATTGATTAATCACAATTAACGCGGATTTATCGCCTTTATCGCCCTTATTGGGGGGCTGGGGGGGTCGGGGGGGGGGTCTCTGGGTTCCCATCGTGCTTTGCTCTCACTTTGGGGGGGGGAAGGTGTCCTGGGGGGAGGGGACACGAGAATTTTGGGGGGGGACTCTGGTGTCCCAGGTTCCCCCTTAAAGGGACCCGGGCTTTGGGGGGAGGGAGCAAAACCCCCCCACAGGTGTCCAGAGGAGGTTTGACCCGGATCTTGGGGGATCCCTAAAAAAACTCCCCAGGACCCCCCAAAACCCCCGAAGATCCCCCAAAACTCCCCCAGGACCCCCCAGAACCCCTCCACAGGCGTCCGGGGGGAGTCCGGGGATCTGGGGGGTTCCGGGTGGGCGGAGACCCCCCCAAAAACAGGCCAAGAGTCCCAAACCCCCCAAAAACGGGCTGAGAGTCCCAAAACCCCCAAAAATCCCCCCAAAACCCCCCGGAGAGCGCCGAACCCCCTGTCACGTGACGCCATGGCCACGCCCACGATGCGTAACGACGTCGAAGGGGCGTGTCCTTTTGGAGTGGGCGTGGCCGGAGGGCGGAGCGTGAACGGCGTTCGCGGCGTGAATTGGGCGCGGCTTCGTGGGGAAAGGGGCGTGGCCCGGGCGGGGTGGGCGTGGCCCGGGCGGGGTGGGCGTGGCCTCAGCAATGGCGGCGCTGCGCGTGCTCGTGGGTGTGAAGCGGGTCATCGACTTCGCCGTCAAGGTGGGGGCACCTGAGACCCCCCCGGACCCCTCCGAGAACACCCCAACCTCCCCTGGGACCCCCCCGGGACTCCCCCGGGACTCCCGAGACCCCCCGGAACCCGAATGGCGGGGAGGGGTCACACCTGGGGGGTTACCTGGGGACCCCCAAACCCTCGGGACGCCGCCCCCCTCCCTCCCCCCCGAGACACCTGAGACCCCCCCGGTGTCTCCCTGGGACGCGCCCACCCCCCAAACCCTGCCCTGCTTTTCGGTCGGGGACGGGTCCGGCCCCCGGGACCCCCCGGGACCCCCCAGAACCCTCCGGGACCACCCAGAACCCCCCGTGGGGGGCCGGGCGGGGCTGTTCGGACCCCCCCCACCCCCCTTCCCCTGGGGCCGGGTCCCCCCCCGGGTGCGCGGGCCCCCGGGGGGGGGGTCGGTGCAGACGCAGGGGGTGAAGCACTCGCTGAACCCCTTCTGCGAGATCGCCCTGGAAGAGGCCGTGCGGCTCCGCGAGGGCGGCGCGGCCGCGGAGGTCGTCGTGGCCACCGTGGGCACCAAGGCCAGCCAGGTGCGTGGGGACACAGCCGGGGCACCCCAAACCCCCGGGGACCCTCCCTGCCCTGCACCCCTGGGGGTTGGGGTGTCCTGGGGGGGGTGTGTTGGGGTCACTGGAGGGGCTTAGGCTGTCCTGGGGGGTGTTTTGGGGTGTGTTTTGGTGTGTCCTGGGGGGGGGGTTGGATCCCCCCGACTCTGCCTTTTGTCCCCCCAGGAGACCCTGTGGGGGTGTTTGGGGGTGTTTGTGGGTGTTTTTGACCCCCCTTTGCCCTCCCAGGAGACCCTGTGGGGGTGTTTGGGGGTGTTTGTGGGTGTTTTTGACCCCCCCTTGTCCCCCCAGGAGACCCAGTGGGGGTGTTTGTGGGTGTTTTTGACCCCCCCTTGTCCCCTCAGGAGACCCTGTGGGGGTGTTTGGGGGGTTTGTGGGTGTTTTTGACCCCCCCTTGTCCCCTCAGGAGACCCTCCGCACGGCGCTCGCTGTCGGGGCCGACCGGGCGGTGCTGGCCGAGGTGGGGGAGGGGGTGGCCCTGGGACCCCTCGAGGTGGCCACGGCCCTGGCCGGGCTGGTGGGGAAGATCCAGCCCCAGCTGGTGCTGCTGGGCAAGCAGGTGAGACCCTCTAGACACCTATAGACCCTCTAGACACCTATAGACCCCTATAGACCCCCTATAGGTCCCCTATAGACCTCCTATAGACTCCTTGAAGCCACAGCTGGTGCTGCTGGGCAAGCAGGTGAGACCCTATAGGGTCCTATAGACACCCCTATAGACCCCTGTGGACCCTTATAGACCCCCAGGGACCCCCATGGACACCCCTATACACCCTTATAGACCCCTACAGATCCCCTATAGGCCCCCTGAAACCCCAGCTGGTGCTGCAGTGAGACCCCCCATAGATCCCCTATAGGCTCTCACGGACCCTTACGGACCCTCCTATAGACACCTGTGCACTCCCATATAGGCCCCTGTGGACCCCCGCAGCCCCGGGAGGGTCCCTGTGGCCCGGGGGCTGTGGTGGGTCCCCTATAGCCCCCATAGGACCCCTCCTGTCCCCCCCCAGGCCATCGATGACGACTGTAACCAGACGGGGCAGCTCCTCGCCGCCATGTTGGACTGGCCGCAGGTACCGCGGGGCACGACGGGACACTGGGGGTGTGCGGCTGTCCCGGCATCCCCCGCGGCACCGACCATAGAGAGCGACCATAGAGATCATTGCAGTGCGCGGGGCATGACGGGACACTGGGGGGTGTGCGGCTGTCCCGGCATCCCCCGCAGAGATCATCGCAGCGCGCGGGGCATGATGGGATGTTGGGGTGCGCGGCCGGAGGGGGGATAAATCCCATGGTCCTTTGCGGCGGTTTCTGCGCGGGGGGGGGCCCAGTTTGTGCTGGGAACGCCTCAGTTTGTACTGGGAGGTGCTCAGTGGGTACTGGGAGCGGGTGTTTTACACTGAGAAGGGCTCCCAGCCCTTACTGGGGTAATCCAAGTCCATACTGGGATGCCCCCACTCCATTGTGGGTGGTCCCACCCCGCACTGGGACGTTCCCAGTCCATCCCAGTCCCCTCTGTCCCCAGGGCACCTTCGCCTCCCGTGTCCAGCTGGAAGGCGGCTCCGTGCGGGTGGAGCGGGAGGTGGACGCGGGGCTGGAGACGCTGCGGTTGCGCCTCCCGGCCGTTCTCACGGCGGATCTGCGGCTCAACGAGCCCCGTTACGCCACCCTGCCCAACATCATGGTGAGTGGGGCACCCCCAACCCCCCCGAGCCAGGGGAACCCCCCCCCAATCCTGGGACCCCCCTCAAAACCCCCATTGACTGGGTAGATCTGGGTGTGTCCCCCCCTTTTGGGTGTTCCCCAAAGCCCTGGGTCCCCTTTGGGAGAATTTGGGGGTCCCTCCTACCCCCGCATCCCTTTTTTGGGGGGGAGGAATTGGGGAGAATTTGGGGGTCCCATCCCCTGGATCCCTTTGGTTGGGGCTGATTTGGGGGTGTTTGGTGGTTTTAGGGGTAGATTTGGGGGTGTTTGTGGTGGATTTGGGTGATTTAGGGGGGTTTGGGGTCTGACTCCCTGTGCCCCCCAGAAAGCCAAGAAGAAGCCCCTGGAGGTGATCCCGGCTGCGGATTTGGGGGTCCCCGCGGGCCCCCCCCCGGCTCCGGGTGCTGCAGGTTCAGGAGCCCCCGGCCCGGGCAGGGGGGGAGAAGGTGGAAAATGTCCCGGCCCTGGTGGAGAAGCTGCGGAGCTGCGGCCGCATCTGAGGGGGGAACCAGGATGGACCAGTACGGACCAGTGCCCTCCAGGAACCCCCCCAGTAACCCCCAGTGCCTTCCAGCCTGGGCCAGTGCCCCCCCCTCCCCCCCCTAGGGCCCCCCAGGATCCCCCCACTGTCAGCCCAGGCCCCCCAGTGCCTTCTACTTCCCCCAAATAAAGGCGTGGCTGCTCGATGTCATTGTGTCTATGGCAGTGTGGCCTGAGGGTGGGTCAGATATGGGACCATTCGTTCCCTTTTTACTGGGTTTTTGGGGGTTGGCACCAGTATGGACCAGTTTGGCACTTGGGGGGCCCCAGTGGGGGCCACTTTGTCCCCAGAGCCTCCTCATTTGTCCAGTCCTGTCCCAGTTTGTCCTGGTCTGGTCCCAATTTGGTCAAATTTGTCCCAGTCCATCCCAATTTGTCCCAGTTCATCCCAATTTGTCCCAGTTTATCCCTGTCAATCCCAGTTTCTCCCAGTCTGCCCCAGTTTATCTCAGTGCAGTCCCGGTTTGCCCCAGTCCATCCCAATTTATCCCAGTGTGTCCCAGTTTGTCCCGCTCCGGTCCCAGTTTGTCCCAATTCGTCCCAGTCCCGCCCTGGCCCCGCCCTGTTGCCGAGCAACGTCAGGCTCCGCCCCCGCCACCCAATCACGGGGCGCGCCGTCCGCAGGCGGCGGAGCTCGCGCTGACAGGCAGGAGCGTGAACCAATAGGAACACGCGGAGGGCGGGCCCTGCGGCTGTTCCAGCCAATGAGCGGCGGTCGGGCCCTGCAGCAGCGGCGCGGGCGGCCCCGTGCGGCCCCTCAGAGCCGGGGCGGCGGCCAAGATGGCGGCGGCGGACGGAGATGACTCGCTCTACCCCATCGCCGTCCTCATCGACGAGCTCCGCAACGAGGACGTGCAGGTACCGCTCCCTGGTATATCCGAGGTCCCTGTAGTGATAGCCGGGGCCCTGTCGCGATATTCGCGGTTCCTCCGCGGCCGCGGGGCCCTCCCTCCGTCGCTCGTCTGAGACGGCCATTCTGATTGGCTACAGAGGCCTCCCCCCCTCAGGCACGGGCCAATTGGGAGCGGCGTTACATCTGAGGAACGAGGGGGTGTCTCGCCTTCATGGTGATGGGATGCATGGCGCGCTCTGATTGGGTGCTGGGCCCCTTTAATTGTGTTACGCGCGTTCTGATTGGCCTGGAATCCCCCTCCCCAGCGTGGCGCCCCCTGGCGGCGGGGCAGCGCCTGGTGACCCCGCCTCCACCCTACGTTGGCAAATGGGAGTGCGAGGCCGAGGCGGCGGCGGCCGCCCATTGGCTGGCGACCTGCGTGGGCGGGGCGGAGAGAAGCCAATGGAGGTGCTCGTCTCAGCAAAGGTGCTGCGGGGCCATGAGAAAAGGCTCCTGATTGGCTGGATGGCCTTGGGGGCGTTCCCAGTGGGGGGCTTTAATTACCCCTGGAATGTTTTAATTACCCCAGGGAGCGCTTCAGTTACTGCTCAGAGGGTATTTTGACCCCTGGGGAGCCTTTAATTCCCCGGGGGGGCAGTTTCCTGACCCTTTTCCCCCCCCAGCTGCGGCTCAACAGCATCAAGAAGCTCTCGACCATCGCGCTGGCGCTGGGGGTGGAGAGGACCCGCAGTGAGCTCCTGCCCTTCCTCACCGGTACGGGGACCCTCGGGGCTGGGGGGGGCCAAAAACCTCCCTAAACCAGGCCCAAAGCCCCCCAAACCCAGCGTTGGATGGGGCTGGGTGGGACTTGGGGTGACTGACTGTTCAGGAGGGGTGATTGATCAATTGATTGGTTATTGGTTACAGACACAATCTATGATGAGGACGAGGTGCTCTTGGCGCTCGCGGAGCAGCTCGGGACCTTCACTGCCCTCGTGGGGGGACCCGAGTTCGTGCACTGCCTGCTGGTAGGACCCCAAAATACACCTAAAATACCCCAAAATAACCTCCCAAATGCCCCAAAACACCCCAAAACCACACCTGGGAACCCCAAAACCCCACATTGGGCTCCTGTGGGGTGACACTGGGCACACAAGGGACCCTGGGGTGGGTTGAGTGGTCCTTGTGGTGGTTTTGGTGGCCCTCTGGGACACGAGGGACCTGCAGATGGTTTCTGGGGACACGAGGGACCGCGGGATGGTTTGGGTGGCCCGTGGGTTTCACGGGGTGGTTTGGGAGTTCGCTGGGCACACGGGACACCCCTCGGTGACGGTCCCACCCCGCTGTGCCCGCAGCCCCCCCTGGAGAGCCTGGCCACGGTGGAGGAGACCGTGGTGCGGGATAAGGCGGTGGAGTCCCTGCGGGCCGTGTCCCACGAGCACTCGCCCCCCGACCTCGAGGGGCACTTTGTGCCGCTGGTGAAGCGCCTGGCGGGGGGCGACTGGTTCACGTCGCGCACCTCGGCCTGCGGCCTCTTCAGCGTCTGCTACCCCCGCGTGTCCAGCCCCGTCAAGGCTGAGCTGCGCCAGTGAGTGCCGGTCAACCTCGGTGTCCCCAGCCCACCTCGGTGTCCCCAGCCCACCCTCGGTGTCCCCAGCCCACCCCTGGTGTCCCCAACCCACCCCTGGTGTCCCCAACCCACCCTCAGTGTCCCCAGGCCAACCCTGACCCCCCCAAGCCCCTCCAGCTCAACGCAAGGTCATCGCACTGACCCCACACCCCGTTTTTGGCCTCAATGCCCGGCCCGGCCGTCCCCGTAGGAGGTCCCTGGGTGCCACCTGGCCTCACCTGGCCTCACCTGGGCTCACCTGGGCACACCTGGGCACAGCTGTCCCCCCTGGCCGCAGGTACTTCCGGAACCTGTGCTCGGACGACACGCCCATGGTGCGCCGCGCCGCCGCCTCCAAGCTGGGCGAGTTCGCCAAGGTGCTGGAGCTGGAGCACGTCAAGAGCGAGATCATCCCCATGTTCTCCAACCTGGCCTCCGACGAGCAGGTGGGCACACCTGGGC